GGAGGAGGAAGAAGAAGAAGAAGAAGAAGAGGGGGAGGACGGAAGTGGTGGTTCAGAAGAATTGCCAGAGGTAGTTGGCGGCGGAGAGGACGAGGAAGAGGCGGGCGGAGGGACGGCGGTTGGCGCGGTATGGGAGGTGCAGTTGGTCCGAAGGTGTCCAATGAGTCAAATTCGTGTCCGGAATGTCCGTTGACACCGAGGACACGTTGGAATCGGTTGTGCGTCGGCGTTGCGGACGGGGCGTGGCTGTGATTTTCGTGCGTCGCGTTTTACTTTGACAGCGGCGATTCGGTTGGCCTCATAGATCGCAGCGCCTGTCTTCACTTTCCTATTCCAGGTCGGTCGGTCGAGGGCGAGCTCCTCCCAGTTGGTCGGGTTAATTTGTAGATGCTTCAGGGAGGACGTCAGAGTATCCTTGTATCGACGAATTTGGCCTCCTTGACGGCGAGAGCCCGTGGCGACGTCTCCGTAGAAAAGTCGTTTGGGTAGTCGCTCGTCGTCCATGCGCACCAGGTGGCTGCTCCAACGCAGCTGCATTTGTCTGAGCATGATGTAGATGCTGAGGATTCCCGTCCGTTTCAGCACATCAGTGTCGGGGATTCGATCCTGCCAGTTCAGCTTCAGGATGCGACAGAGACCGCTAAGGTGAAAGTGGTTCAGTCGACGTGCCTGCTTTGTGTATACTGTCGAAGTCTCTGCTCCGTACAGCAGCGTCGACAGGATGACGGCCTTGTACATCTTCAGCTTCGTGCTGAGTTGGAGACCGTGACGATTCCAGACTGTGCTTTGGAGGCGACCGAAGGCTTGACCGGCTTTCGAGATCCTGTTGGCGACTTCGTCATCGATTTTGGCGTTAAGGGAGAGGATGCTGCCCAGGTACGGGACTACTACTATGTTCCTCAAAGTTCTTTTTCTTCGCAAGCCAGTGAACCCAGTGTCCTGTCTTATACTTACCGACGTTGGCTACCACTAATGTCTAAGTTCTTTGGTTAAGTCAAACTAGATCCACAATGGTCACTTCTAGTTGTAAATTTGTGAGCCGATAAAAGAGACACTTATTATAAAACGTTCGTGCGCCAGAAGAGAAAGACTTGAGACGCGTTAACGAAATTTTAAAAACCAAATATTTGGTCAATAATTATATTCAGTCACATAATGTGACTATGGTAATCGCCTGATTGAAAGAGAATATTCCTGTTCTGTAGATCGATGTATTCGAGAATTCCTTATTTTTGGCATAACCATTAATTCAGGGAAACAGAAGTAAACGTCGAAAAGAGCAACATCGTCAGCGAAAACGCGATGGACGGAGTACATCCAGGGAAACTAAATGAGAGGCTATCACTGTCGAAAACCCTTAAAAATCCTTTGCAAGTAAAGCGCATCTACACGTACCAATGATTCCCTCGGCTCCATCGTCGTGATCGGTTACTATGTTGCTAGTACGACAAGGGAATTATTATTTGCAATGTTAGTCTGTCATCATATTAAAAGCTCTCATTGCCACTACAGGAATTCTGAAACCACCTTCGTACTGCCTGATCACTTGTGGACCCTTCTCTCTGTTTATATCGGTGGCTGTTTGGAATGTATTATGACCGAGACTGAACTCAGGAAAGAAAAGTAAACGCATATCATATCCTTCCATCTCCGCTATTAAGGGCTTATATGCCTCAGAATAGCACTCTGGGAGAAAATACAGGATAGATAGTAAACAGTGCCCATAATTATTAGGCACGTAAAATTTCTGTATAAAACTCTACAAGAAATAGCGACTTCTTTAGGTTATTAGAAGTGAGTCGAAAAATCGGCCAGTACATTCCGAGCAACTTAATACTTCTAAATTCAGTTTTCTTAGTTGCTTAATGCATGCATGCAAATGTCCTCTCCAAAACGTTCTAATTTTCGAGGATTCCATTTTAGTCCGTCCAGACCTAAAAACTTGTCGGCTCTTTTAAATTTAAAATAAGACAAATCATCTACAGTTTCGGAAACTAAAAATTCGAATGTCATATAGGCCATTACGGAGGCCTCAGTTTTTGAGTTCTTTGGGTTTAAAAGAGCCTGTGATTAGCTATTGTATTCTGGATTGAAAAACCATGTTAGCCTAATTATTTGCCATCACGGAACTGCTAAATAAGCCTTTTTGCAAGGGACTGCAACGACTACTGTTTGACTTTACAATAACCATAGTGCGAATGAAAATGCGACATTAACGATATTCCTGTTTTACAGTTAACTGAAGACGACGAAAAAGCCGCAGAGCGAACACAAAAGTGCTTTATAAAGGCAGAATA